TCTCATTCATTGATACAGATGTCTGGGGACCTTCTCCAATGGCGTCTTTTGGAGACTCTCGCTACTACATCTCATTCATTGAAGATCATAACATAAATGTATGGGTTTATTTCTTGAAGTATAAATCTGATGTATTCAGTGTGTTCAAGACTTGGAAGGCTATAGTTGAGACAGAGATATGCTTAAAGCTAAAATGTCTGAGGTTTGATAATGGTGGTGAGTACATTGATGGTGGGTTCAAGGAGTACTGTGCAGCTCAGGGAATCAGGATGAAGAAGACCATTCCAGGAATACCACAATAAAATAGTGTTGTAGAGTGCATAAACAGGATCATTAATGAGCGGGCTAAAAGCATCAGATTGCACGCCGGACTACTACCTACTTTATGGGCAAAAGCGACTAGTACTGCAGTTTATTGGATCAACAGGGGGCCATCTGTTCCATTAAATTGTGAATTACCTGAAGAATTTTGGAGTGGGAAAGTGGTAAAATTTTCTCACCTTAAGCTTTTTGGTTGTTGTTCTTATATTCTCATTAATTGTGTTGCTCATAATAAGCTTGAGGCTAAGTCAAGGAAGTGTTATTTCATTAGCTATGGAGATGAGGCATTTGGATATCGTTTATAGGATGATCAGGGTTAGAAGATCATTAGGAGCATGAACGTGATTTTTAATGAAAATGTTATGTACAAGGACCAGTCTAGTACAATTTTTGAAACAACACTGAAAGAATCTGAGTTGGTAAGATTTGATGATTTACGAGAGGTCACAGTGCAGAACAGAGATGCAGGTGACGAGGAGAGTGGATCCGGGACATCCACTACTATTGTTCCAAAGTCAGTTTCAAAGCAGTCTACCTCTACTGTTGCAGTTCGCAGGTCAGAAAGGGCTAGACGTTCTCCAGAACGTTATTCTCCAACTTTGTACTACATTATGCTGACAGATGGTGGAGAACCTCAGAATTATGAATAAGCCTTGCAAGATGAAAATTTGAGCAAGTGGGAGCTTGCCATGAAGGAGGAGATTGATTTTCTGCTAGAAAATCAGACTTGGGAGTTGACAGAACTTTCATCTGGAAAGAAGACATTACACAACAAGTGGGTATACCGGGTGAAAACTAAGCATGATGACAGTAAGAGGTAAAAAGCTAGACCTGTTGTAAAGGGTTTTCAGCAGAAGCATGGTATTGATTATTCCGAGATTTTCTCTCTTGTGGTGAAGCTTACAACCATCAGAATGGTACTGTCTATGGTGACTACTGAAGATCTCTTCCTTGAGCAGTTAGATGTGAAGATAGCCATTCTTCATGGGGATCTTGAAGAAGACATCTACATGCACCAACCTGAAGGGTTCATGATACAAGGAAAGGAAGAGTCAGTTTGCATATTAAAGAAGAGCTTGCATGGCCTTAAGCAAGCTTCTAGACAGTGATATAAGAAATTTGATAATTTTATGCATAGTGCAGGGTACAACAGATGCCAGGCATATTTCTGTTGCTATGTCAGGTATTTTAACAATTCCTATATCATCCTATTGTTGTATGTGGATGATATGCTTATTGCAGGTGCTTGTATTGAGGATATCAATAATTTAAAGGAGTAGATGTCAGAGCACTTTACAATGAACGATTTGGGAGCGACAAAGCAAATCCTTGGTATGAGAATTCTCAGAGATAGAGTCAGAGGCTTGTTGAGACTCTCTCAGGCTGAGTATGTGAAAAGGTACTCAGGAAGTTCAACATGGATAAAGTCAAACCAGTTGTCACACTCTTGTGAAGTCACTTTAGACTCAACAAGAATCAGTCACCCAAGTCAGAGGAGGAACGAGATCACATGATTAAGGTTCCTTATGCTTCATCTATTGATTCACTTATGTATGCTATGATTTGCACCAGACCAGATATTGCCCATGCAGTGGGAGTTGTTAGCAGATACATGAGTAATCCTAGAAAGAAACATTGGAAGCAGTGAAGTGGATCTTGAGGTACCTAAGAGGCTCTGCAAAAACTTGCTTGTGTTTCTCAGGAAAGAGTTCAGAGGTACTAGGCTATGTTGATGGTGATATAGCTGGAGACATTGATACCAGAAGAAGTACTACAAGCTATATTTATACTATTGGTGACACTGCAGTATCATGGGGCTCTAATATGCAGAAGGCAGTTTTGTTATCTACTACAGAAGTTGAATACATAGCAGTGTCAGAGGTTGCGAAAGAGATAATATGGCTACAGGGCTTCTTGAAAGAATTGGGCAAGAAGGATCAGAAGGGCATTCTCTACAGTGATAGTCAGAGCGTCATATTCCTTGTCAGGAATCCAGCATTTTAGTCAAGGACTAAGCACATTCAGATCAGGTATCACTTCATACGGTCATTATTGAATGGCAGACAATTGTTGCTTGAGAAAATTTGTGGAAGCCAAAACCCTGCTGATATGTTGACAAAGAGTGTTACTCTGGAGAAACTGAAGTTGTGCGCAGCTTCAGTTGGTCTTTTGGTGTGAAGACAGGGGCCTTGAGTTGCAGAGAAAGAAGATAACAAATTTGAAGAAAAGGGCTACGCCACCAGTGGAGGATGTCAGTCTGAGGAAGAAGTTGGAGTCTGTGTACCAGTCTCCAAGTGAGAGATTTGTTGAGTGTGGAGTCCGGTAGAGAAAATGATAATAAATATTATCGTAACTGCTCCCGACCCTTTCCTCCCATTTTTTGCGAACTCCCCGTCTCCCTGTCTCTTGTGATTGCCTCTCTCGTTCGCAAGCCCCGTCTCCCTCGCGAAATCAGAAGACTTCCTCCTGACGATCCGTCTCTCCTGAAATAGAAACTCCTCTCCCGTATCCGCCCAAGCCTCCTTCAATTTGTGAAAAGATTCTTCTCGTGCTTGGCAGAAAAAAGAAGAAGATAGTGGAAGAAGAAGGTGCTCTTCTTGATTTCTTCTTGTTGGCTTGTGGCAGAAGAAAAATAGGTTTATCTCTTGTACTTTTTTTTTCTTCTTCTTCGGTGTATCTCGGTGTAGAGAGAAGAGTGAAGAAGTGAGAGAAAGAGTTCGTTCTTGTAATTGGAGACGATCCACTGGTGTAAATTTTTTAATTAGTAAATTCCTTTGCAACTCCGTGGATGTAGGCAATTTGCCGAACCACGTAAATCTGTGTGTTCTTTTTTGGTGTGAATTTTTGCTTATCTCATTCCATTGTTTACTTCATCGTGGATCGTTTTAAATTTTTAATATACCACAACAAATACCCCTCATAACTCTTCTAAAAGGCAAGAGCTTAAACATAATATCCATTTCCCCTCTTTCTTTTTCTACAAATAGATTCCCTCTTGATGTAAAAAGGTATCCCTTTTAGGCTCTCTCTCGCCTCTCATGTAGGTTGTTGCTCCCCTTCAATCTCACATTATAACCTCATTTGTGTGGAATAACGAGGTCGTCAAGTCGGGGATACACACATCTTTGCCCCCAACGTGACAACCCTCCATCTCTTTCTCTCCCTCTCTTTCTCTCCAAAGGGTGGTTTTGGATTCATAGACTTAAACTGGCTCGAGATCGGCTTGAAGTATTTTTTTATTATTTGTAAAAATTATATATAAAGCTAAATAAAATCAAATATAACAAGCTATGATCCTATTTCAAACTAAAATATAACCAACTAACTCAATTTGAGTCATTTTATTTTGATTACGAGTCCGATAGAACATGTTCCAAGCTGGAACATATCCAAATAACTCAAATTTGAGCTAACACATTTCGATTTCAAGTCAGATTGAGCTCGATTCAATTTCAAACAAGTTGGCTTGAAATCAAACATAACAAGCCATGAATTATTCTCGATCAGAATTTAATTCATTTGCGCCAATTTCGATCCAGCTCTAGCTCTGTTTAGATAATGATCTTTATTTATTTATTTTGAACACATTTATACGGATATATATAAAACTTTAAGATTATATTACATGGACCGTTATTCTCCTGTTTCTTGAAACCGTAAAATTGTCCTCCATGTATTATATTTTGTCCATCTAAAAAAAATATTGCCATGTACTCTATTGTAGATTACTATAGGCGATTAACTATCCTCTGCCACTGTGTACGAATGGGATGCTTGAGCTTTCGAAGGACTTGAATCATCAGCTGGCATGTGGCTAGTTTGATATTTTGTCATAAAAGGCCAAAAAAATATAATGGATGTCAACATTATTTTCATTTTATATATGCTGACGATATTTAGGCCAGCTAAGTCGACATGACATGACATGACATGACATATTGCCAGCAGATTGATTGAATTTGAGGCAGATGGTGGAAACAGAATATGTGGTTTATGTTCTGCATTCCTTGATTTTATAAGTCCATTTTACTTGACATAAATCTTTACTCGGAGCACGTCATTTTTCAATGAATTTAATGTTTTATTTGTTTGGACGTATTATTATTTTTCTATAGTTATTAAATCTTAAAATAAAAATTTAAGATGATATTTGATAGCACACTATTAATAAGATTTAATCTTATATTTAATTCAAATCCAACCAAACATAATAAAAATTTAAAATAAATCCAACACACGATTATATTAAATTCTCCCATTTTTTTTCTTATGTTTCGCCTGTTTGAAGACAAAAATTGAGAATTTTTAAATCAAATTGTGAGACAAATTTATTACATCATATCTTGGGAGCCCAATCAAATCTTACTCAATCAAATCTGATAAATCCTATTTAACGTAAATCTAAGTTGTAACAAAACACTACTACTAAAAGTGATAGAATTTGCAACAAAACACGCATGGGTTGCCACCAGAACTGAAGGGGTTGATCCAATAAGGTGGGTTGGGGACCTCACGCGCCAGCTCATTCTTACTATATTATATATATACATACATACATACATACAAAGATACAATATAGTCCCAACCTCACGCGCCGGCTCATTCTTTTTACTATATATATATATATATATATATATATATATATATATATATATACAAAGATACAAAATAGGATTGGATGACGTTACAAAATAAAGCCTATTATCAGGTTCAAAGGTCTACATAGAATAGCTCACGCCTTGCCTCAATTTTCCTAAACTGAACCCATCGCAAAACTGATTTAACCAAATTTCAATATACACCAACAAATAATTCTGATTAAGTACATAGAAAGCAATTGCAAATAAAAAACAAATCACCTAAAAGAGACAAAAACTTTTCTAGTGGCACAAGAAACAACCGAATAACAAGAAAGAAAGACGAGCAATTTTTTTAGTTCTTTGCATTCTTTCCACTTGATTTCAGTCTGAATCAGAACCTGCATTAGTTGAAGCTCTAATACTTCGACTATTGCCTGTCTCCTCTTCTGCATCCTCATCATTGTCGCCTTTCCTTTCATCAATAATACCTAAACAAACTACAGTTTAAGTCTTGTTCTGCAGATCTGAAAGTTTCAAAAAGGGATGCATACCTTTCCTCTTGAAGAGGTGTTCTAATGCCCCGGAGGTGAAATCATCTTTGCTGCCCAGATCTTGAAACCCAACCAACCTATCAAAGCCAATCCCATTCCTGAAAATAACCAATATAAATCAGGCCAAAAATAATGAAGTTTTGACGCAGATGCAAAAATTAACCTTATGAAAATGCTCACCTGAACAAGACAACGCATGGCAGGGTTTTAATAGCTAGTTTCTTAACAAAGAATGGTGCATTCTGCATATAACACACCAGAAATTTTAATTTCTATCATTACTAAAATACTTCTGAGTGGGGGAAATGAGACTAACTTCAGCATCTAATTTGATGAACTTTGTATCAAAGTGAATTGGTGCCAAGGCCTTCAAATGCTTATCCATTATCCTGAAAGAGGTGGGATCATGAAAACAAGGTAGGGACAGAGGCCTTATGCAGAATAAGTTTAGCATATAATTTACTTGCAACGGTAAAATTCACGGTGGTAGAAATGGCAGATGACTTTCTGACTTCCGGTCACTTCACCGAGAAAGTCAGCTTCAGTTATCTCCCTATATTCACCATGACCTTGCCTTTTCAGTACCTCTCTCTTCTCAGCTTCTTTCTAATGATGTTAATGATTTAAAAGGCTGCATTAATCTAATTCTTCTTTTCTAGAAAAAGTAAAGAGTCAATATAGTTCCCTGACTGTTTTACACATGGCCATTTTAGTCCCATAGTCTAAAAAGTGCAAAATTAGTTCCAGATTTTTTAAATTGGGGCTGAAATAGTCCTCCGTTGAGATTATTTCAGCCTATATTAAAAGAGTATGAGGAATAAATTAATAACTTAAAGATTTTGGGACTAAAATAACTCTTTGCAGAGAGTCAAAGAACTATTTTGACACTTCTCTTTCTAGAAAATGATATGCAACTCAAAGCAACTCTTAGATTACTTAACAGTACCTTTAAAGCAGCAATTCTTTCTGCATGCAGTTTTTCCAGTTCAGGATCCTTAAACAAAACCAAGTCAAAAAAGAGAAGAATTGCAAAGCACAAGTTTCAAAATGCCAAAATAAACATAAGAATCCAAAGTCAGATGAGATATTTGAACTCACATCCAGCAATTCATCGAGGTCAACCTCATCGGTGGCTGCATGAGATGATGTTTGTGCCTTCTCATTGGCTACCAACTCCTGTAAAGCTTGTCAGACATGAGAATTACAACGAATAAGCATGTAGATTGCACTTCAATTAAATTAATGACACGTATAAGAAACAGTACTTCATGTCGTAATGCTTGTCATCCAGGACAGCTAATTTGTCCAATTCAATTAAAAAAACATTCTCAGAAATTGCATTTCTGAGAAGCATCTCACAGATTTTCTCCAGTTATTTTCACCTGATCCCATGCAGGTTATCTCACAATAATTTAATGAATTCCTGTAGCTTTTTTCTCTCTCTCTCTCTCTGCTTTTTTTTTTTTTTTTTTTATTTTTTTTTTTTTTTTTTTTTTTTTTGACATTTTTTTCTAGCTTACTCTTTTCCAATTTATCTAATAGGAAAGAGTATACGGATTCCTGGTTTTAAATAAAATGCTGGATAAACTAGTTTTAAACCAGATTCATGGGTTTTCAAAATGGGTGTTTTTTAATGTTTTAAAGCAGATAGAAGGCCAGATCAACTTGTTCAAAATCAGATCTATGACTTGATGACATGCATAGTTAGGGTATGCTGCTTAATAAGCACAAATTTGTGACATTGGTGGATATTTATGCGTTTAGATGGCACAATACTTAATATAACTCTATTATCATTTTGCTGTAAGTATGAAATTTTGTCTGCATTAAACTGCACTAAGAAACTTGTGAACTGATCTCGACTGTATGCAGGTTTGTAAGCAAAGATGCCCTTTTTATGTGATATTTTTATTAATTGCTTAATGTGCAAATCCAAAGGAGCGGGCATCTGCACCTTTTGTAAAAGGAGTATATTTGTGAGAAATGCCTAAGAGACATATATCATGGTAACAAGCTCACAACTCCTAGCAAAGATGGGGTGAAAGAATTATACTAAATTTTTTTTGTTTAAACATGGAGCATGATCGCAGACAATTGAAAGACAAGTAGTATCAACTTGAGAAGAAGTAAAAATTTTGGAACCCAAAAAAAAGATGGATGCTTCTATGAATAACGGAATAGTGAAAATGGAAAATCACATGCAATATCTTTAATTATGCAAGCTCAGGTAAAATGGCCTTTACCTCAAAATTTGAAGAAAAAAATGATAAAATATTGAATCAAATGCTAGCTATCACAAGTGATTTGGAAGCCAATTCTTAAAAAAGTTGCCCTAAAAATTGGTAGAAAATCGAGGAGATGTAAAACAAAAGTGAGTGCAGGAGGACCATTACCAAGTACACAAGTACAGAGAAAGTGATTGGAGATAAAATAACAAGCAGGTCATCTTTCTTGTAGTGATAGCAAGAAAAGAGCACATCATGTGAGGTTATTCAAAAAAACCAAAAAACCAAAAACTTAGACAAACTTGATATTTTATATATGGAAAATGAAGGCATAAACATTATGGTTCCAGCAATGTAATTCATGAATCATCAAGCATAGATCAATTAGATTAATTCAACAAGATTCTCTCTCTAAAATCCACAATCAGCAACGGACACAATTTTATCATCTAACATAACTGCAATAATAGCTATATAGAATTGCCTAATAGAGTGTTAGATATGAATTCACAAGTGTAAGATAGAACAATTCAATGAACTGGTAGTAGGTTCATGAAATACGGTTAAATATGACACATTAAACTAAATTAAAGCCAACTTTTTCAAACATACTAATTTATAAGTGTTATTTCCATTGTGCAGCAAAAAGGGCCTTCATCACATTCAATATCATAAAGATTCCTAATGGTAAACATTCTAGATTCAAATGTACAACTATCTTATCATCTAATGTAAACTCCATCTACCTCCTATTTACATAAAATAAAAAAATAATAAAAGAAAACTTAAAATTGTCATAGTTACTGCTAGTTATTTGCAAACATCGTCAAATCAATTCAAGCGAATCATGAAAATGATATGAGGCAAGTAGTGAAAATGCTAAAAGACTAATATGCATATTAAAGAATACAAATAATGAACTGAGCTATAATTCATTCCTGAATGAGAGAGAGAGAGAAATAAAAAATAAAAAATAGTAGAAGAAGATTTTTTCACCCAAAATATTAGTATCACACTTAAACTGCACTCAAAGGAATTCAACTCCAACTAAGAAAATAAGATTAAACAAAAAGAACTAAAATTTAGTTAAGCTAACAATTTATCTTTAAAAACATCAAGTGTAGAAATTAATATACATCAATTTTTAAAGGCCGACAACCTCTAGCACTAGCCCAAAACTCATAAAAAAAAGAAATGTAGACAAAGAAAATCGATCACAACAGACACATAACAATTCTCATAGCCAAGCACAACATAAGCCTAGAAATACATGGAAATTAAAAAACTCATTACATGTTTATTCATGCAAATTACTCACATGTGATAGTAATAATTGGAAGGCACGGCACTGCCACAACAAAAGAACTAAAAATTGCCATAGAAGAGCCAGTAAATAAGTCACACGGGGTTATAAAAATCTTAGTTACAGTAACTGTAGTTGCTTGTTGAACCCTGCTGCATTCCCTCATCTCTTAGACAATCGATGATTCTAGAACTACTTGTTGAACAAGCTACTTGGCGACACCCAATTTATAAGTTTATTAAATAATTTAGTCATTTCTTCAGCACCACTAGGCACATCATGAATATTTGTTTCACATACATTACACAAACTATAATAATTATAATTTATTATACTTCATTAACATTTTTTAATGAAAAATAAGTGTGACTTAAAAATTATTTAAATAATTTTGAGATTTTTTTAAGTTTAATAATTTTAACAAGTATTTTAACATTCTACAAGAATTGTTGTTTCATACTCATGTGATGTCATATCCATGTCTGCGTCATAGGTCACACAGTTGCATGCTCATCAAAACAAAATTGTGTTAAATTCTATTTATAAGTTAAGCTGCTACGCATCGCATGTGAATGTTTATATTATTAAGGTGCATAAGAGTATTGGATATAACTCCATAGTGGATAGTTGAAAATATGCTAATATAGAGGGCTTAAGCTTTTGGGTTGAAACAATGTTGACCATTGGCGTTTCTAGCTCATACTCCCTAATAAATTATCAAAGCCATTGGTTTAGCTAGGATCAAGTGTTTCATGCAACCAGTGGCTCCAATAAATTTTGACGCCTTTTATTATTCACGAGCAACGTTTAAGAGCGCATGACTCCTAATACAACTTCACAAAGTTGGGCGAGTTAAGGGCACATGACATTTGATAATGCTAAAACGCTTCCCTTTAAGGTGGAGTGATGGACAATGTGGAGGGCTCTCACGTGAGGATAAGATTGTCAAGGCACCGGAAATTATAGATAAAAGAAGAGTTTAACCATTAATGTAACTACTCCAACTTCAATCTCCTCTTTGTTCATAGACCTTAACATATACGACAAGAAAAGAGTCTCCAAAATATAAGTTTTGTAGCTGATATTAACTTGTTTATGTCAAAAGATCATCAAGTTGCTTTTTCTTGCTTTCAATAAATCTAGTTCTTATACATGATTTATTGTACTCCAATTTGAACTAATTTTTTAAGCTTTGGTGGTGGTTGGGATCACGTGTGTATTTGCAAGTAAATCTTTCATAGATTTCACATAATGTCAAGTCAAATGAATAAAGAAAGACAAAAGTTCCACTTATTCCCTTTCTATTTATTCTTATTTTTTCTCTACTACTGTGACACTAACACGAGTTATCTCTTTTCTATTTTGAGTAATGTTGACCTCTATATATGGTCCAAAAGTGCAATCAATTATACATGATAATGGTGAATGATGAGTACGTCACACACAAATCAAAATCAAAATGCCTCAATCACATCTAATTTCATTTGGATTATCATCCACATGTAGAGCGGACTTCGTCAATATGTTCGGAATACCAAAGTTGTCCAGTAGAGGCCGCTCAAAAAAAATAGCAGGCAATAGATACATCGACAAGCGAATCAAGTTAAATTAATTTGAGCATCACCTAAGCAAACAAGACAATCTCCATTCACAAATTACATAATGCCAATATGCTCAAAGCATTGAGATCACTCACATATGGCCTCCTGCATCGCCAAATAGCTACACATTGAAGAGAGCAGCCCACGGCTTCGATGTCATGCAAAATAAAGTCAAACAACTTCGATAGCCATCAAAACTATTTGAATGACATTCGTTGATGAAATGGACTTCGTTGACAAATTCAAACATCAAAATAATCAAGAGAGGGCCTTCATTGATTGATCAATAAATATGATAAACACAATAAAGAAAAGACATGAAGTTGCGCAATCATCCCTTAATTATTTTGTTTTCGTCGAAGTCACTCAAGACTGTTTGATTATAAAATGTATTGCTCATATGCGTACGGAATGTCAAAATTAATTAAGAAGAGGCCTTTCGTGTTGATTTGATGGAGCACAATCAAAATGACAGATCAAATGTGACATCATGCAAGTCAAGCCGAATTACCATGATTGTTGTCGAGGTGGCTCAAATATTATTTATTTGTGAAATAGGCTTTGTATCAATGCATATAGAGTATAAAAATATCCAAGAAATGACCTTCACCATTTGATTCGAACAATTATGACCAAAAAAATATAAAGATTGAGCGTGACGTCATGCGGATAAGACTAATTTACTTCAACTGCTATGGAGCTCAAATGACGCCCAATCATGAAACGGACAGTGTCAATGCTTCTTGAGCGTCAAAATTACTATAAAATAACTTTTACAATCGATTTGGCAAGTATGATGAAATGATAATCCATATACAGCTTGTCGCGTTGATCCTATTTGTTTCAATCATAATCTAGATTGCTTAAATATCGTCTAATCAAGAAACAGGTTGCACGAGTGTGTCCGAAAAATCAAAATGAAATCGAAAGAGCATCCATATCGTTGAGGCTCCTATGCGAATGTGAAATATAATGTTTGCTTGTTTATAAGGCATTTAACATGCAATTTGAGGCATGGTGAATAGAAAAATTTGTAAGATACATACATACATACATACATACATGTGTGACAATAGCTATAATTATAATTATAATTATTATTTAATTATTATTATAATATCATCAACATTAAAAATAAAATAAAAAGTTGATCTCCATACCTAAATCCCGCTACCCACGATGCCCTCTAAGACCCCACCATTCTCCCATCTTGTGTGCAATGCAGCAAAAAAAAAGGTTATAGTTTTCTATAATTATCTCCTCACTGGTTCTCTTTCGCTCATATCCCGTATCCCCTCTCGCCCTCTCCCATCTCTTCTCCACTCCACATAGTAAGCCCATGCACGAAGAGCCATCAAGCTTGGCTTGTACCATCCTATGCATCCCAAGCTGCTCAATTGCAGCCCATCACCACCTTCTTCTTTGAAGTTGCACACCCATCAGTGGTCCTCCATCCCTCACGCAGCTCAAGTCACGCATTTGCCTCTTCCAAACCCGAACAAGCCCAACCTCTCCTCCAACGTTTCTAGTGACTCAATAGCCATTGGTCTTATTGTCACCTTCTCAACCTTTCTTGTGACTCAATAGCTCCCATGAGGCTTGGACTAGAGTCAAGCTTGCGATTATAGTAAGAAATGAATGAGCCGAGGCCGAGCTTATTCTTTGGGCTTGACTCGAGCTCACCTCGAATTGTTTAAAACCCTACACAGCACAGCCAATTTTCAATCTCCAAAAACCAGCAGTCAAATCACAATTCCCTCTATCTATTTCCCTATCCGCTCGCCTCTCTTGGCTAGTAAGCCTCCAGCTACTACCCTAAGCCACTGCACCTCTCAAAATACTCCTAAACAGTTGTTACCACCCGCAAAATTGCTTCCCTCCAATCTCATTTCTGACCTACCAGTTCTTGTCAAAACAAATACCCCTCAGATTCTCTCACTTTGTCCACATTTCCTCAATCTCTCCCATTGCTCCCCCGCATCCTTGCACCTTAGCCCTTGTCAAGCATCTCTACTATCTTGCTCTACTCAATATCTCTTTAAGAAAATATTATCATTTCTTCATTGATCTTTGTGCCCAAACTTATAAATCAAAATGTGAATTTACCAAATAGCTAAATTAAGTATCCGTACACATTTTTCTAGGGCGTCAAAAAATTATATTATGCTTGCGCGTTTTCATTGAAGTGAAACCCTATAAAAATCCTTCTTAGTGCAACAGAAAAAATGTTGTCAGTTCTCCAAAATAAAAGTACTAGTACACGTTTTACCAAATAGCTAAATTAAGTGTCCGTACACATTTTCCTAGTGCGTCAAAAAATTATATTATGCTTGCGTGTTTTCATTGAAGTGAAACCCTATTAAAATCCTTCTTAGTGCGACAGAAAAAATGCTGCCAGTTCTCCAAAATAAAAGTACTAGTACAAGTTTTTCTTAAAATAACACAAATATTCTATTATTTATGCTTTTGTATGAAGACGCAAAGACCCACACACATTTCTTTGGCGGGACAAAAACTTTAAGTCATAGTGTAAACTACACACATGATTTTTTTAGCATGGTGGGCAAACTTATTTTTGGCTAAGTACCTTCTTACTAGGGCTGTCAAAAAGCTTGTTGCTAGCAAATAGCCCATGTTCAATTTGTTCGTTAAGCGAGTGAATTGAACACAAATAATTTTTTTAGCTCAATTTATAATCGAATCAAACATGAACTAAAGTTCGTTCGTTCGCGTTCGACTCTTTTAGGATCGAAATAATTAAATAATAATATTTATCTATATCCTTGTTATATTTATTTTTTATATGTATTTAAAAAATATTAAATTTTATTATTTTAAAAAATTATTTGGGATCAAAAAAATGTAAGTATAGATGTTAGATATGTAAATACATAGAATTTGGGTGGCATGTAAATGTCCCCAAAAGCGAGAAGGATAGAACAATGGGGAGTCCGGACCATGCGTTCCTTTAAGCTTACTCAAGCTTTTATCCCAATCGAAAGTGATGGTAAAGAAAATCTTTATAAAAGTGAAAACTAAGGATTTCCAATGCCAAAAAATTCGAACGAAGTGGATGAGAAGCATTTGAATCTCAATCGGATAAAACAATTTATTTTCTTAATTTAATACTAACTATTTAATTAATCAAATTTATTAGTCTCTTAATGTAATTTGAGTCGAACACGAGCTTAATTCGAACAAATAAGTTTGAATAACGCCGAACACAAATAAGCCTTTTCGAACACGAGCTGAACATGAACAAAAAAATTTTGAACAAGCCGAGCACAAACAAGCCATGGACTCGCTCAAATTCGACTAATTTACACCCATACTTCTCACCGAGGGAGGGAGCATCACAATACTGTTGATATTAAGACTGATTTTGGACTTAATTTAAATAAAAAATAAGTAAGAACACAACATAAGGACTAGAACAGAATGCAAAATTGTAAAATCACAATCTAAGTTACTTGCATATTGAGAATCATGATGAATAATAAACAAAACTTCGAGATGCAAATAACAGAGGACTTAAAAGAAATTGAAAAACATAGCACGCAAGCATAATTTTTTTAAATCAAACTCACATAATTTCATAAAATCTGATGAAATGCAATGGCAAAAAGAATAATTCCACTTCCCCTTATTTATAATAAAAAAATTGATATTTATGAGCCCATTACATTTAACCTAAACATATAAGAACAACAAAAGAGTGTGAAATATTTTAGTATCTAAATGATTCTTGTATGCCTACTTTGCTACCGAATCCAAAAAAAAAACTTACAAATGGATAGAAGACAATTTTAAAAGCCATCATATAGGAATATTTGAGCGCAACCCATTATAAATTATTCATAAAATTATTTAATGGCTGGATGATTTCGAGGCTAGTACAAATTCCATGCTATTTTCAATCACTCTTATTGCCTTGAAATTTTTGCAAGCATTGAAAAACATGCAAATAATAAATTAAAAAGGTTTTTACATCCCAACATAGAATATAGTATTTTAACCACCCAAACTTTAAATATAACATTTTAATCAGTTTTTCATTACAACCATCCATATTTACCCACTAATGATAGCTTTGAATGAAAGTTTTGGATGGTTAAATGTTATATTTAAAGTTTTGGGTGGTTAAAATGTTATTTCTAAAATTTGGGTGGTTAATATATCATATTAAATATTTTTGATGATTGGTATGCAGAAATCCCTAAATTAAAACACTTCTTGATATGTGCACAAATCATGAAATATTCATCAAAATGTTCCAAAATATGTGTAGTTAAGTCCTGTAAATGCAGGGGATTTTGTGCAATTGCATCCACCAAGATGCGTGCGCATTAACAAAAATGCTGGCATGTGCTCCACTCAATGTGAAGAGTGTGTGGGATTAAATGAGTTGAATTTTAAAATATTTTGCAATGAGAAGTGTGTTATACATATTAAATTGCCTAAATCTACTAATTAAAAATGCCCGCAGGTGTTCTTCTCAGGTGTAGAGTTAAAAAAATTTAAATCAATCGATTAAATCTCCATGATGACAGTCATGTTGATAGTAGATTTCAACATGAGGGGATATTTTCACAAAAATTATTAATATATGATAAATGCTAAAGAAATTTATAAATTTCACAAAATATTAAAAAATTTCGGTGAAATAAATCACCAAATACTTAAAAGCAAGCCTCATCCACCATTCATAATAATTTGTCAAGAGAGACAATTTTAATATTCTCAAACTCACAATGAGTCATACTGTATTATTTATACTACAATATTCACATTGAAAATAATCCAATATCACAATGAGTCATACTTTATACTACAATATTCACATTGAAAATAATCCAATGTCAGCAAAGATGTGGCCAATATTATGTCCGTTTGATTTGGCCAGTCAGCTCCACAAATTAGTCCGCTATGACCCATCTCTCGATCGAATGATTTGGCTTAGACAAATTCCACAATATTATAATCACGGATATAGTCTGCATGTTTCCTAATAATTTTGTTTATTTGAGTTATGAATCATCTGATATACTTGATAAGCCACAAAAACTCTATGTTAACTACGGTCAACTTAAATTTGTCCACTTAGAAAAATATCCTTTCATGGTCCATAGGGTCCTATTGGACAAATCAACCTGTAACTGCTGACAAAAATCATTCAATCAAATTGAG